CCCCATCTATCTATCTATCTATCTATCTATCTATCTATCTATCTATCTATCTATCTATCATTCTTTCTATCTATCATCCTTTCTATTGTTCTATCATTCTGTCTATCATTGTCTAACATTGTTGTATCTTAACGTTGTACCATTGTTTCTAACATCCTATTTTTGTATCTAACGTTCTATTGCTGAATCTGTCGAACGTTCTATCACTGTATGTCTAGAACGTTCTGTTGTTTATCTAACGCTGTATCTATCGAACATTATTATATCATTATATCTATCGAACATTGTATCATTGTATCAGTCAAACGTTCTAACGTTGTATCTACCAGAAGTTTTATAGTTTTATCTAACGTATCTATCAAACATTCTAACGCCATATCTATCGGACGTTCTATCGTTGTATCTATCAAACGTTCTATCGTTGTATCCATCAAACTTTCTATCGCTGTATCTTTCAAACGTTCTATCGCTGTATCTTTCAAACGTTCTATCGCTGTATCTATCAAACGTTCTATCGTTGTATCCCTCAAACTTTCTATCGCTGTATCTTTCAAACGTTCTATCGCTGTATCTATTGAACGTTCTATTGTTGTGGCTATCGAACGTTCTGTCGCTGTATCTAATAAACTTTCTATCGCTGTCTCTATCAAACATTCTAGTGCTGTGTCTATCAAATGTTCTATTGCTGTATCTTTCAAACGTTCTATTGCTGTATCTATTGAACATTCTATTGTTGTGGCTATCGAACGTTCTGTCGCTGTATCTAATAAACTTTCTATCGCTGTCTCTATCGAACGTTATATCGTTGTATCTATTGAATGTTCTATCGCTGTATCTAATTGAACGTTCTGTCGCCTTATCTATCGAATATTCTATCGCTGTATCTATCGAACATTCTATCGCTGTATCAAACGTTCTATCGCTGTATCTAACGTTCTATCGCTGTATCAAACATTCTATCACTGTATCTGTCGAATGTTGTATAGTTGTATCTAATGTATCTATCAAATATTCAAATATTCTATCGAATGTTCTATCGCTGTCTTTATTGAACATTTTATTGTTGTATCTATCGAACTATTCTTGTATCTATCATACATTCTATCGTTGTATCTATTGAGCATTCTATCGCTGTATCTGTCAAACATTCTATCTACCTAACACTCTAACGTTCTAACATTCCATTTATCTATCTATCATTCTATCGTTCTATTGTTCTCAAATACGCTCATGTACCTCTGTAACAGTGGTTCTCAACCCACGGCCCGTCACGAATTCAAATGCGGCCCACCATGCTGAACACAATTTAAAAAATAACTTTCAGTTTTACAATTCATTTTAGTTTTTACATTAATTTAAAAATGTACTAAACAAATATAAGCTATAATGTTTTTGTTATGTAAAATAATTTTGTTTTTCATATATTATATTCAGACATGAGCAGACCTGTACTCACGTAGGCTAATTAACGTTACGCATTTAACGAACACTTACAAGCGTGCACTTTGACAGAATTCCATTCAAATAGTCATCAGCAGCCATTAGTTCAGTAAAATTGAGCATCAGAATGGACACATTTGTTATTAAGGGAGAAAAACGAAATGTGGAAAATGCCAGCGAAGGAACACATACAAACAAGAGTAGTCGCAGCAGTGAAGGTAGGAGAGTGCTGGACTTTGGGCATCAACTTTCGGTTTGCCCCGCCACTCACTTGAAGATGTTCAGGCTAGAGCCCTGCACGGGCCTCAAATATAGGCCCTAGCCCGGCCCGTGTCCGGCAGCTTATCAGAATTACCGGCACGAGTCAGACCCAAGCCCGTCTTTTTTTTCCCCTTCTCCCAAAACAGCTTACACTACGGTTTCAGCTATTAAAATAGTTCAGTTTTGTATGTAATGGCAAAGTGATTATATTTCGTTTCG